CCTTACACCACACGTTTATCCACTGCAAGGGAATAAGGATCTTAAAAGAAAACGTGTTCTTTTAGATAGCAGCATATATACCTCCATAGGTAGTAATAATTTAGGGAGAAAAGCGGCGTCCAATTCCTCGCGCCCAGCTTCACAAAATCTAATTCCTTTAGGAAATTATGTATGTTTTTACGTTTCTATCACTCATTTTCGGAGTTCGTACACACTGAAAGTTTTGGCTAAATTTAAAGCCTATAGTATTAGTTGCTTTGAGAATTCTAGTCCGATGGGTACACTGTTTTTGAAGGTTGACGAAATAGTACTGAAAACAGCGCCTTCTCTAACCCTATTATGGTAAGGATAGCAGAGAAAATCAACCACGGCAGAGGACTAGCATTTTTCTAACCACCGCGATGCTTTGATTGTGATATAGCTCCCAATTTCGTTGTTAATTAACCTGAAATTGAAACAATACGCAAAAAATACAAAATTAGCCTGGTGGATACATCAACATCATTCTCTCTGCAATACACCCATAGAGCAAAGCTGTTCGGGTATATCAATCGCTACATGACACAGAAGTATGGCTTCCTGAGGACCGTAAGCGTGTAAGCTCAACCACGCTATTTTGAGAGTCTGGCCGTATTTCTTGCAAGGTATGACTGGGCAATATCTGGTGAGTTGGCTCCTCTCCTTCTGTTATATGGTGGAAGACATCTGTATCAAGCACCGAGTTGTTAGTCAAGGGATTTACTATGGTTCAGGCTGAGGATGTCGACTTGGCCAAAACGTAGAAAAAGCAGTTAAAGTCTTCTATATCTATAAGTTGATGTCAAGCCATCTGTGTCACAAACAATATATTACTCAAGACTGGTGGCTGATGCGCTAGTGGGACATGTCTTACTTCCCAACTATGTACAAACAATTCGCGTCAAGGGTCCTCCTTGGCAGGTAATTTGTTCCAATAAATATGCCTGCGCAAGGCATATTTTAAGATATCAGTATCTCAGCCTTGCCTAAACACCACTGCAACTACCCTGCCATCTGACGTCAGATTGGGGACTGAGAGGAAAGGCGAAGCCAATAACAATTTAGCACGAGAACATGCGCTGCTTCACATCATAGGCTGACTAGATATCTGTCCTACAATCATTGCGCCTCCTAGAAAGCACTGCCAGAAACACATGATTGTGAGCGCTAGGCTGTATCTCAACTTTTGGCTTATGTAGATCAACTTGCCGCTCATTTCAGATAATCAGCCTAAACGTCACTTTATCACATGCGCATGCAGCCTCATTGATAATGACTGTGCTAAAATGCTACCGGACATGAGCTTGCAGGTCACGAAAGAGTAGTGGATAAGTGAATATAAGGCCCTATGGGCACTATTGCGTTCAGTTCTGGTTCAGTCTTTATCCGTGTTTGGCCGCCGATCTTTCCGTTGTTCCTGACAACAGGGTTGCACACAAGGCATGAGAGCAACTTAAACCTTCTATTTGGTATTAGAAGTGCAGTCGTATCTGTCATGCCTCACTTGCTTAAGTGGCTTATGAAAATGCAATTTGAAAATATCATAAACTCCTAAGAAAGCGGGCAATCTTGATTTAAATGATGGCGAAGTATTTAATGCCAGTTATAGCCTTCTCCAGTACCCAGAAGTCTGCACTGATGCGCTGGAATCTATTGCTTTTCCAAAGGTTCTCATGAAATTGGAGATCAAGGGGTAGATTTCTTAGCCTAGGATCCTCAAACTGAACTTTTCCAAGTTGGGTATTGTTGTAGGCAAAATAGAAAGCATGCGTTGTAGGATCATAGTAATTGATTGGTTGTAGGTGCTCCGGTAAAGGTCCAAGCAAAGCGTCTCCGGTATTTGCTCCGGTCATATATGACTGTCCGACTACTTGGTGATAGCCGCCTCCAGTTGGTCGAAGCAGCATGGTAGAATCGCAGCCTAGAAGTACACAGATCTCATCACCAGGTCTCGCTGACAATGGCGCAAGGCCAATAGAGCCTTGAGTGATGATAAAGAATGACCTGTTTTGGCATACTTCCTCGACCTGTCTGGTGTAGCTTTCCCAGCTACTGCTATACTCCCATGCGTAAAGCTCTTCTGGCTCCACAGTAAGAATGAACTCCAACAATTGGACACAGTCTTCGAAAACTGGATAGTCTGTGCGCATTGGGGAAGTAGTATGGCGAAAAAGGCCGCAACATATCGTATCACACATCGTCCAGGACGATGATCTCCCCCGAAAATGCCTTGGTTTCTCGTTTTCCCCACACATTGTTCTCCAAAGCTTTTTGACCATAGCCTGGAACTCGGCAATGTTATCCCCGAACTGCAAAGGTTGGACCTGGGCAATTGATTCAACATACAGTCCCACCACACTCAGTACCCCCTTCCCTTTGTATCTTGCGATAGCTTCCAAATACCCACTCGCGTTGCTTGGAACGCCCGAAATTGGATTGGCTAAAGGCTCCGAGGACCAATCTGGCACCCAAGTCGGCATTTTGGACGATGGATCCTGCAACTCACATTGAAAAAGGATTGCAAGGCTCTTCCAATACTCGATAAACCTGAGTGTTGTGTCTTGGTAGACCTGAGGTACTGATAGGGAGTAATTGGGCAAAATTCCCATTTTTTGATGGCTTGGATGAAGTAAGCTCAACATGCCGTATATTCTGTCCCTCTGGTCAGAGCATCTAATCTGAGAAATCTCCGGTCGTAAATGGTCCAGCAAGTAGAATTTGTGATCACACACAGTATAGACCAGCTTGACCCGCTGACTAAAATATTTCCCACGGCTACCGAGGAGTCTTTCCAGTCTGGCAGATTCCATTTGTATGGCAAAGATAGCGTTTTTGAATTTTTTCCAGGGTACGACAAGTTGGCCACATGCTATGACAGCTTCGTTTGCTAGGCCAATCTCTTGTCTTACCCAAAGGCGCTCGAACCACGGTCGATGGAATAGGTGATCCAGGGCACGGATGAGGGTGTCCTGGTTTAGGGATGATTGGAGTATATCCAAGCTTTCGGATTGATTGCCATCGATATCCACTGAAGGTTTCATAGCGTAGCTTATCCAGTTAACCTCCACTTTTGACCCTATGCTTGCCATGGTTTGAAGAGCGTAACAGCTGTCATTCTCATCTGGACCTAACCATACAATAACGTGCGTTGCCATTTGGTATATATCGCTCATTATGGAGACCTGAGTGCTCCGTTCGGCCGTATCTCTCTGGTTGATACAGGCTGCATCAACCCATAATGTTCGAATTTTATCCGTATATCTGAGATGTCGTAGGGCGATGGCCAAATTTTGTGTTACGAGAATGACTGAGTTTCGTTCGGAGCCGATGGTAATGAAACTCGGATTGATCGGTGAGCCCCATACATAGGACAATGCCTCGAAATACAAAGACTTCTTTTCAAGTGAAACTTGACGTAGTTCAATGTGGAGGTTTTCTGAAAACGCCCCGGGACTTAAATCCAAGAGCCTTATATGTTTGCCTTCTTTTGATAGAGTAGAATATTGATAATGATCCATTTGGAAAGTTCGACTGGTGTATATGTTTGTGGTGAATGATTTCTTAATCACGTATGTGTTGGAAAGGCTGTCTGCAGATATATAGACAACCGGTGAAACAAGGCTGATGAATGGACGCGTAAGGCAACGAACTGCTATCATGGATAATCCTGTACCAGAATAAAGTAGTGTCATTCTTATTAGTCAAAAGCGGATGCCTGCAGAAGTATAAAGCTGTTTGTAACCGTAATTGTTAGAGGCAATATTTTTTAATGCTTATAACGTTGGCAAGAGGAACAATAGATGACAGCATATCTATCTGATAAGATAGAACCTGGCCCCAATACTTTGCGATACTCTAGAAGGCAAAGTTGGAGTTTGAGCCTTTTGAAAAATGGCAATCACTAATATTCCAGCCTCATAGTTTGCAGTTCTCGCCTTTAATGCCGTAATACATTGCTATGCACTAAAAGAAACTGTGTACCGGTGTCCTTTCCAGACTCTCCTTCAGCCCATTCTCTTGTTCGGTCGAGGTTTAGGTGGGGGAGGTGGAGGAGGAGGGCGCGGAGGCGGAGGAGCTGTAGGATTGGCCATTTGGATGATTTTATCTATCAACACATTTAATACATAAGGATGTCACTTCCAGTATCATATGTACCGCTGGTAAAGGGGCTTTAATATTACCCTTTTTTTTTTTTTTTTTTTTTTTTTTTTTTTTTTTTTTTTTTTTTTTTTTTTGCCAATAGTAGTAGGAATTGTATGTCCCTTCGCGTGCTGCCGGCCACTGTCTTGCTGACGCTAAGGGGCTTTTTTTGAGTTGTTTAAGGAAGCAAACACACGACGTGAAAGTTTCGTACAAGCAAGTATAAAGACTTGCTAAGAAAGAATAGATCTTGGTAATACGAGCAGGGAAGTGGGGTCGCGGTTTGACCCCCCCGCAACGGGATTTCTTTGAGGTTTTTGTAATTGAAACCAAGCCGCTCAAGGCATCAATTGTTAGGTAACACGAGTAGGCAGCAGCGCCAGGCGGCCAGATTTCCCCGCTTTCTTACGGTGTAAGCCGAGGCTGCGGATTATGAGTTGAACCAACCAAAACGCGATTCGTCTTGGACCGATGCAGTGTAACGTTGACGGCGGGCCACGTGCTAAACATGTTTTATGGGTGTATGTAGCCTTTTCGCATATTATTGTGAAGTATTGCTACGGCCAACTTCTGAAGAGACTTTTAAAGAATCAAGCCTCGTTAAATCACTTTACATGGGAGAAAACTAGAAACCCTTCATAATCATATCAAATATGATAGGGGTAGGATAATTCCACCACCACCTTGGCTATTTTTCCTACCCCTCGTGATAATAATTACCCATACGGAGTCACTGCTAGTACACTTACACTATAACAGTCGCACAAGAATATCCACTAGTAAAAATAATAAGGAAAATTAGAAGCTTCCGCCACTATAAGCAGCAGCAACAGCACAAAGAACGCACTAAGAACACGCAAATAGACATGCAAAGAAACACGCAAAGAAATACGCAAAGGGACACGCAGAGACACGTATAGTTTTTGCCAGGTGACACAAATACTTGAGCGGGCAGGCGGTAGAGGGGGGGTGGTGAAAATAGTCAGAAATGTTGGTGAAATTATCCTTCGCCAATATAATAAACTCGCGAAGTAACCTGAATCGGGATAACGACTAAGAATTCCTCGCGGTGTAGTTGCAAGCACTCGCGAGCGAGCCAGTGATCATGTCGGAAAGCTCGGAGCAAGGAAACGCAAATCGTCTCTGCAGCATCGAACAAACGACCTCGAAATTCGAGGCTTGCTCGGTCGTGAAAATAAGTTTACGGATGCGTCACAGAGCTTGTCGGCATCTCCATAGCCGAATGTTGGTCGTCGGCGTTCGTGGTTTGAATGAATGGAGACACTGAATAATGACGTAGTTTTGATTGGTGCGTGGTTTGTTTACAATTCATCTTCACTACTCTCTGCGCTGCCTTTCCATTCCTACAACCACTATCTCTCCCTCTTGAAACAGCCTTCTTCACATGGTAGCTTTCCGATTTCTTCTTTCCACTATTGGTCATTAGAAGCACTCTTTCACTGCTGCATAACTTGCTGTTCATCGGCCCAGCAACCGCTTTCCCCGCATCATCTCTCCTCCAGAGCTGCTTGACATGTCCGCTTCACCCACTTCGAGTATTTCCCAAATATGCAAGAATTTCTTCAGTATCCACTTTTGGTTCACGGCGCCCGGGATGCGTTGAAGCGATCCCGGGGCTCACTGCAACCTTTTTTTTGTCAACGAGGACCAGCCTTATGACAGGAAAATCCAGTCATCCGTTTGTGCTGCTTCACTTACTGTCACGATGAACGGCTAACAGACAAAGCAAAGAGCGACGTTAATGAGGAAAGCGGCATTATGTTTTCTGCATCTTCGAGAGGAAGAGCTCCGACAGTACCGCTGACATGTAGAACTCGGACTCCCCGAGCCCATCCCACCAAAGGATTCTTATAGTCTCTCATAATACTCTCCACTTCAGCCTCAGCCCCAGCCCCAACATCTAATGTTATGACGCGTCGTCCACAATCCTTTTAAGCATTTTCACAGCACATGCCGTCGATCCGCCACGCGCATACCCTTCCGGACGACCACAGCCACGCGACCAGCAGCACAGCAGCACAGCAGGCGAGTGTGTTTCCACACAGGCGCACCATTCTACCAACACGAGGGCTCACAAGGCGCTAAAGCGAGCTTAACAAACCAGGCAGCACTCACAGCCAACCACGACGCCGCCGATCCGCGATCAGCAAAAGCCAAGTTCCCGCCGCGCGCAGAGCGGCAGGATCTCGCAGGTCGCAGGATCTGGTCGAGTTGGTAGCCTCCGCCCACCACTGCAGTCACCACGTGCGCATGCTTGCTTAATTTAGCACAGCACTGAGCGATTTTGCAAAACTGCCCGATGCGACAGGCTGAGCCGCGGCCGTGCACGTGGGGGCAGGACTCTTTACCGCAGGGATCGACGCAAGCGCTGGTGATCGCGTCGCCAGCATCGAGGCGCGGGATTGCTTGTATTCGCTTGTTTGGCGCTCAGCCAATTGACGCATCGTTTGCTGGCGTAGAGCTTTCCTGTATAGGCAGTTAAACGGCCCTCACCGCTACCAGGCGCTGCATGGCCGTCTTGATCTTCTCTTCAGCCTCACGCCTGCTGCCCCACACGGAACCACTGACGGCTCCACTCTCCATCCACTTCATCAGGCAGCATGCCACGAGTCGCGATGCCGGCTTGTGAACTGTACAAGGCGACGCGACGACGCGCGGCGGATACTTAAGCCTCAGTCAAAGCAGCAGCATTCGCCCTGCATCCAACGCCAACGCCAGCACTCACAACAACAACAACCTAATCAAACCCATACCGAAAAATAAAAAAAAAAAAAAATGAAGGCCGCGCTCTTCGTCCTCCTCCTCGCCGCCGTGCTCCTCATCAGCCTGGGCCCGACTCCTTCGACTGCCCTCGCCGCGCCCGCGTCCGCAAAGCCACGCCCGACTGCGCTTCCCCATGAGCCGGCGAACAACGACGGCGGCGACGACGACGACAACAAGACGAGCGTTGGAGCTGCCGCCGCCGCGCCCGCGACCTCCACTACGACTGGCAGTAAGCCTCCTTGAAAACACACACGTGCATAAATCTCGCAGCAGCAGCAGCAGCATGCTAACCCGCCACAGCCACCGTAGTCAGCACCGCCGCGCCCAAGACCTCTGCGCAAGCCTCAGCGCAGACCTCAGCGCAGTCCTCCGCACAATCCTCCACCAAATCCTCAGCGCAGTCATCCGCCCAGACCTCAGCGCAGACCTCCGCGCCCGCATCCACAACGACAGCGTCAGCCACAACCTCTTCCTCGGCCTCGGCCTCGTCCTCGTCCAAGGGCGCAAAGGCTTCCAAGACGTCCACCACTTCCGGCAGCTCGAAGGCCAGCAGCTCGGCGGCAGCGAGCAGCACGGGGTCTGCGGGCGCGGCCGGGGCCGTCGCAACGCCGTTTGTGAGGGTGGGGGAGATGGCGGCGGGCGTGGTTGCTGTTGCGTGGGTGCTTGCTTAGGTGGGAAGGGGTAGTGTATGAGATTTGGATGTACGAAATGGTTATGTTTTTATGTACGCGATTGGTGTAATGATATACTCTTATTTAGATGTTTGAAGGATTTGTTGGTGCCGTGCATGCGTGATTAGAAGGTGTGAAACTGAAAGGATGGGGAGAAATGGAATGAAAGCTGTGGTACTTTCCATAAACGTTTATTTCCCATGCGTCCAAGACTTCCATCCATCCAGCAGGCCAACTTTCCGTCCCAGATCAGCTCCGGGTAGCAGCAGCGCAGCGCAGCGCAGCACAACGCCGCCCCGCGACAAAGCGCCCAACGAAACAAACAAAGCCGCGGCTGAGCTTAAGTACCTACCTCCCTCTCCTATCATCAGCAGGCCCGATCGGATCGGATCTCACGGCAGCAAATAAGAAACAAGCTTCTATCACGAAGCTTAGGTGGTGTTGGTGTTGTACTGCAATCACGCGCTGACACAGCACAGCCCCCCCGCAAGCGCCCCGAACGTTAGGTAGCGTGGCGCAGCGCGAGGCCCTCCGTGGGATCGCGGTCACGTCGCTCACGTCGCTCGCATAGTTTGCCGTGTTCGCTGTTCGCGCAGCTCAGCCTCCTCAGGCCCCGCAGCAGCCTCCTAAGGCAGAATCTTGACTAACGGACGGGCGTAGGCACGGCACGGTAGTGTGTGGAGCCCGCCGCAGGATGATGCGTTGGTCGCCGCGCTACAGGGCTGAGAATAGCAGCATGGGCGGCGGCGCGCCGCGAGCGCTGTGTGTTGTGTTGTGCCGTGCTGTGTTGGTGTCGTGAGGGCGGAGTGAGCGTGCGTTTGCTGATATATGTGTGAGTGGGTGGGTGCTTGTGTGCTGATGCATTCATTCGTCATTGCTTTGAGTCGTGTTTGCGATACCTATTACTGCTTTGGACTACATACCTACCTATCTATACCGTGGAAAGAGAAAGAGATCAGATCTACCTACCTTGCTGGTTGAGTATACGCACGCTGTAAGTACTTTTTATCGTAGTAGTTGTGTGTAGAGATAGTTACTTACCCACACCCACCAGCACCACCATGGACCATCCGCACCGGCACCGCTACTATTCGCACGACAGCGACATGCACACGCTCTACGACGATCCACCACCGGCATACACGCCGCTAGCAGCATCGCACACCTCGTACACAAACCTGCGCAGCACGTCCTCGCCCAGCCAAAGCCATTTCCGCACCTACAACGGCAGCGCCAACACCTTTACCAAACCCCACCCTAGCATCGACGCGCACTGCTGGGAGTCCGCTCGCTCAAACTTCATACCAAAGACTAGCTCCAGCTCCAGCTCCAGCTCCAGCTCAAAGCCCCACCCAACGACAACCACACGACCAAGCACAAGCCCAAGCCCCAGCTCAAACACATACACAACCCCAGCCCCAAAATCGCGACACGCAAGCTCCTCCTCCAGGCGGCGGCGACGCGCCAGCACCAGCGCCAGCGACAGAGACAGCGACAGCGACAGAGCCAGTGACAGGGCCAGAGCCAGAGCCGAACACAACGCGACCTGCCCCTTCTGCCGCGACGCGAGCTTCAGGGCCCGCACCCGCTTCGTCACGCAGTCCGTCGTGCTGCCCTTTGTCTGTGATTTTGCTTCGAGGCTGTTTGCGCTTACGGCGTTTTTGGGTTGATTGTTGGGGGTGTTGGTTGGGTTTGGTTTGGGTTTACATAGGTAGGAGTTGACTTTGGGGGTTTTGGTTTGGTTGGGATTGTAAATTTTTAATGCGTGGGGAGGGCGGGTGTGTGCATTGGATTAGTAAATGTTGGGATACCTTATAAGAGTAGGGGTGGTTAGGTTTTTGCTTGGAGATTGTGGCTAGCATGACGAGATTAAGCGGTAGAATAATAGAGTAAATCGATATTTAGAGAAGGTTCTGTGTCAAAAATGAAGTACTACATCTATTACCTTACCCGCTTTTACTCCTTACTCTTCTCGTAATGTTCCTTTACATAGTTGTAGTACTCGCCATTCATCCGCTTGAATTCTTCCCATTTCACATCTTCCTCCAACAAGTTTTCGTCCATAGTTAACAGGATAAGTACCAACAAGCATAAACAAATAACCGCCAGAACAAAACCCCCTACCATAGGCAAGACCTTCACCACAGGTTCCGTCAAGTGGTACATCGAGTACTGCAGAAAGTTGCGTAGCTTATAGCTAGCACGAGGGTATGCATGAAGTATTTATAGCTATACTTGCTCCGTTCAGTGTCGGCTACATACTAATAACTGAGTGTAATACGCTTCAGTCTGCCCTCGAATAAGTCTTCGATAAAGACGAGCATTATCAATGCCAGAACCAAAAAAAAAAAAAAAAAAAAAAAAAAAGCTGGTTCGAGCTTGGTTGTCTTGTGTGGTTTTGTTTGAGGATAGTGTCCTTTTGTGTAAAAGCCTTTTAAGAGTTTCGTTTGGAGACAGTATTTCAATCACAGGACTGAGAGTTGTAGTTTGGAAGGAAGGGTATATTATGTTTATTGTTACTTTGCTTGCTATTCATACTGGCGGTTTTAATACTGACAAAGTCAAAAGCATCTGTCAGCCAGGATCACTCCGATAACTCTCGTTTTTTCAGCCTCATTATCTAGTGGTTACACAACAGCCTTACCCCCTGCACTACTCATTTATCCACTGCAAGGAAGCAATGATCTCAAAGAGAAAACGTGTCCTTCTAGATAGTATCTTATATACCTCCATAGGTAGTAGTAATTTAGAAGGACAAGCGGCGTCCAATTCCTCGCGCCCAGCTTCACA